CTGAATTGTTCTCATTGAGGCAGAGAGCTAACCTTTTAGTTCCTTTCTTGATACTGATTAATTATGCCAACTAGTTTTTTTTAAAAAAAAAAGACCTAGGAAAATAACATATTCAGAAGCCAAAGATAGTGCCATGATTCAAGACATACAGTTATATGAGCAATTTAAAAACACTTTTTGTTATTATCACAGTACAAAGTATAGGCTGTGACAGCCAATTACAAATTGGAACAGATGTTAGGACCTGGGGGCATGTGTTGGCTCTCACTGCTCATTAAATACTTCCAACATACACGTATTTCCACAGTCTTTGTGCTCATTGGAATCACAAGCATGGAAAATAAAACTAGATTTTTATTTCTGTTCTGTACGATGAAATTCTGTGTGGATTTGTAGCATCCTGGAGATAAATACATTGCAGCCCGATCTAAAGCTCTGCCAAAATATATTGCTTCTTCATTTAGAGAAGATATATAATTAAAATTCAATTTAAGAAAATTTGTATAGAATGCAGTTACCTTACCAAACTTTCCATTCCTAATAGTTAATCCTATATAATGTTGCAGACTCATTCAATCTAACTTGCTTAATATTTTAAATGTTCTATGGTGGATGATGGGAACAGGTTACTGTTTACGGAAATCTATTGACTTCCTTTGTAAAAAACTGGATTTTTTTTTGGTAATGCAAATAATCCTCCCATGATTGTGGTTTGATAAATCCCAATTCTCACATTCTGGGGCTGCTCCCATGAGAGGACACCCGCATTGCGAGCCTCACTCTTCAGAATGCTGCCACGGCGAAGCTTATTTCTACCATGCAAACTTTCTGCCATGGAAGTGTCCATGAAAGAAACATAAAATAAGTAAGGATGATCCTAAAAGAAACCAGGTAATGGGACCTGAAAAAAACACAAAATAATTATTTACCTTTGCCATCATTTTAACAATTTGGTTTCATGTCAAGTTAAATTCCTGGTCATAACAGCAGAGGCTCTGGAAGCTGGGATTAAATCCCACTCAGCTATTTACCAGTACAAGGTAAAGCACTCTGTGCATCCCAGTTTCCTCACTGGCAAAATGGGGAAAAAATACCATGGTACCTAGTCATATAGTGTCCTTAACGATAATTAAAGCTATAGTAGTGCCTAATATAGAAAGTGGTGATTAAATGCTAGCTATCATAATGATGACAATGCTGATGATTTCTAGAAAGCAGAAGTTTGTACCCTGAGAGGCGTAAGGACATGTTACAATGGAGGAAATTGTTCAAAAAAATTTTTAACCAAGCATCACAGGCTCCAAAGTGTGGACATTTCAAAAAGAAGAAAATTACAGACCACATTCATAAATACATCAATGCAAAAAATCCTAAGAAATTACTGACAAGTAGAATTTGGCATCACATAATATAGTAATACATTATGACCCAGGATAGTTTATTCCAGGAATGTAACATAAGTGGAAAAAGTAAACTTATTTCCACAGGTGCTGAAAAGGCATTTGACAAAACTTCAATGCCAATTCTTCAATAATAACTAAGAATCCAGTGGAATACTTTCTAAATATTATGAAACACATTTTAAAACATCTAAGCTAAATGTATGATCCTCTTTTACTAAATATTGAGGACTATATATATATATATATATATATATACACACACACACACACACACACACACACACACATTTCTATTGAATAACTCTCCCTGGCTTTATCGGAATACCCACTCTCATTTATTTCCCCTTTTATTACTCTATTTTTTTAAATGTTAGACTATGACTCTACTTTTGTTACCTACTTCAGATTTTTGATTGAGTAGCTGAGACTCAATCTCAGCAAAAAAAATGATACAGCCAACCATATTACATCCATTCTCCTCTTTGAGGTACCTCCTCGCTTTACAGAGTATGATTATCTTCAACTTTATTTTCATTTGTTCTCAGGGAGGATCACAAAATCAGCATTAGGCAAGTTGGTAAGAGTGAATTCAAGTTAACACAGTACTCCTACTCATGGTCTGTTTTATTTTAACTACATAAGAAAAACATAAGTCCTCCAATAAATACACACAGGGTACCAAACAACAGTTTGGGACAATCTTTTGATCTAG